CAGATTTATAAATCAATAGCTTGTTGTCAAGCGATAAGATTGATTTGCGCCTCATTAGCCAATTCAGGTCTGCAATCTTCTGTTTGATTTGTTTAATTTTTGCCATAATGTGGGTTTTCCATGTTAGTTTTCGATCTAAGTATATTCCCAGATATTTTACATTTTCAGCTGGTGGAATTTTCTGGCAATTAAAGTAAACTTCAGGACAGGTTACTTTGTTTAAAGAAAATGTAATATGGCAAGATTTGCTCTCATTAATAACAATGCGCCATTTTTTCGTCCATCGCTCGACAGCATATAAATGTAACTGGAGCTTGATAGATGCAACCATTGGGTTGATATCTGAGGAAAGTATTGCAATGTCGTCAGCAAATGTAGCAATTGATGTAGTTGGCAATGAAGGAAAATCGCTAGTAAATAGTAAATAAAGGAACGGACCCAGCACACTTCCTTGTGGAACGCCGGCACTTATCGGAAAAGAATTAAAAGTTTCACAGTTAACCCTGACTTTGAATGTTCTGTCTGTTAGGTATGACTTAAGAATTTCATAGTAGGATGACGGAAGGTTATATTTTATTTTTAAAAGTAATCCCTCATGCTACACTTTGTCAAATGCCTGCCTTACATCCAGAAACACGGCTGAACAGTATTCCTTGGCTTCGAAAGAGTTATTAATAATATTAACAAGTCTGTGACACTGTTGTGTTGTCGAATGTTGCTTGCGGAAGCCAAATTGATGGTCTGGAATATTATTTGATTCTGATAATATATCTTGAAGTAAAAGTTTTTCGAAAATTTTTGAGGTAATAGGTAGAAGGCTTATGGGCCTATAAGATGAAACCAAATATGGATCCTTTCCAGTCTTTGGAATCATTTTAACTATAGAGGTTTTAAAGGATTTAGGCCAAAATTCCAGTCTTAATATAGCATTATATATATATATATGTTAAACAAATAATACCTTTTTTAGGCAATTCTTTCAACATTCTCGACGAAATTAAGTCGATTCCTGGAGATTTTTTGTTTTTAAGTTTAGAAATTTCACCGACAACTCTTCTCAGAGAGAAGAATTTTTTATTATTTCTAACAGGAATCGTTCGATAAACCATGTCACAATCAGGAATTTGATTATCAGAAGGTAAATTAGGCTGAAACACAGAGGATAAATACTTGGCAAAAACTTCAGTTTTATCCTTATCACTTCGTGACCAAGTCGAGTCGTTGTCGGCATCCCAACGAATTGGCGGGTTTCGCACACATGGTTTGAGTCGGTTTTTCACTGGTTTCCAAATCGAATTATCGAAGCGGTTAAGGCTCGCTACATAGTTAGTGAAATTAATATTGCTCATTTCTTTCAATCTATTCTTCAGCTTATTACTGATGTTGTTAAAGTAGGTTTTATCTGAAGGTAAATGGCTGTTATGCCATTTTCTTCTTGCTCTCCGTTTTTCAGCGATAAGCTTTTTGATTTCTAAGGAAGTAGATTGTCGATTGGATTGCACAGGTTTAGGCGTAGAGGATGAAGCAGCTTCAGTCAAAATGTTGTTGAAGTTTTCGATAGCTGTATTAACGTCAGTTTGCGTTTTCAATCTCATTTGCAAATTGATTTTGTCCTCAACTTTTTTGCGATACATATCCCAATTAGTTTTCGCAGTGTGAAGGCATGGTGCTCGAGAAATATTTATTATAGATGAGCAGATGCTGGCAATTACAGGAGTATGGTCGGATGAAAGGTCAAAATTAGTTTCAATTTCAGTGTAATTTGTATTGATGCCATTAGAAATAAAGAAATCCAGTAGATCTGGTTTCTTTTTGGGATCTGAGGGCCAGTAAGTTGGAGTACCCGTCGACAGCGTTACATAGTTATATTGGGAAATTACACTGTATAATTGTCTGCCCTTGGGATTAGTCAATCTTGAGCCCCAGAGAGGGTGTTTGCTATTGAAATCACCTCCCACTATGAACCTGGGTCCTAAAGAAGAGAAGAAATCATAGAATTGAAAGCTGGTAATCGCATGGCGTGGAGGGCAATATACCGCAGATAGTATGATGTTACAAGTAGCGAGTTTGACTTGGATTGATGTAGCTTGTAAGAAATCCTTGCTATATTTGGGAACCTCGTGGTGTGTTAAGTTGTATTTAATAAGTATAGCTGAACCTCCATGAGCAGAGCCATCTGGATGCGGAGTGTGGTAGATGTTGTAGTAGGGTATGTACATATTGGAGTAATTAGTAAAGTGGGTTTCACTTACTAACAACACGTCAATTTTGTTTTCTTCCAGAAAAATAATTAGTTCGTTCCTATGTTGTAGAAGGCCATTTGCATTCCAAGCACATATTCTAATAAATCTAGCCATTGATACTAGTTTCTTTTATTGATTAGTGTTGATAGCATGTTAATTATCACACTATTCTGTTGCATTAGCTGATTAAACATTGCTTTAAATTCCACAAGAAATTGAGAGATAGCTGAATTTTGATTTTCTGAATTGTTGACTGGGTTATGTGATTTTATAGCTTGCGCATACGATAAGTGCTCGGTGTTGGTGAGTCTGCCAAAGCGAGACCTGTCTGCGTAGCTTTGCGAAGCGGTAGGCTTGTTTTGATTGACAGAAAATTTACTGTTAATTCTATTTTTAGAATTAACTATCTGTTGGTAAATGACGCAACCTTTGTAATTAGCTGGATGGGATTGAAAACAGTTTGCACAGACTGCTGGAGATTCACGCGACTTGGAACAAATTGAAGTGGGATGATCATCACCGCATTTTACACAAATAAACGGTCTATTACAATAGGATTTTGTATGGCCGAATAATTGGCAGCGACTGCATTGGGAAATTCCTGAATTATTAATCGGTGGATGAAAATGAATTATTTGATTCAATATCTTGGTTATTTTGAAAATTTCAGTATTATTTTTATCAGGTTCCAAGTCAATGTAAAACATATCAAGTGGGTTTTTATTTCTGTGATGCAACACATTAGTGATATTTCTAACTCTATGACCCTAGGATTCAATTTCCTGCTTTAATTCGTTGATATCGGTTTTATAGTGGATGTACTTTAGTACAACACGATATGCCCTTTCCGATTTGATTTGGTATGTATGAAATACGATATCTCGAGTTCGAAGAAATTTGACAAAATTACGGTAATCTTCAACAGATTGAACATTAAATCTAGTAACTTTATCTGGCAAAGTTTTAATCGTAAAAGTATTTTTTGTTAACACAGATTTCAGATCGTCTAACATTCCTTTAAAATCGTCAACTCCGTAAATAAATACGGGAGGCGGCAATGCTTTTTTAACTGAAGCAGAGGTTTCAGTAACAGGTACTGGTTCTTTATTAGTAAGGACACTAAATCGATTACCTAATGCTATCGAATTATCAGTTTGAATATTCAAACGTCTTCTTTTAACGCCGGCAATCGGGACAATTTGCCATTTGTTTTTATTAGAATTGTTAGTATCCGTTTCAACTTCCATAACGCTAGTTGACGGAATGGTAGCATTAGTTGTTATATTTGTTGACGGTGAAGGAGCATTAGTTATTGTGTCTGTTGATGAACAAATTGAATTTGCAGACTGATTGCGTAGATGTTCAGTAATAAATTCTGAATTGGTATGTGAGTCGTCGGCAATTACATTTGCCGACTCCACAATTAAGTTGTTCATTGCGAACCCCAGAGGGTCCACAATTAAATTGTTATACAATGTGACACTTTTTGTATTAAACACTATTAAGTATTTGTTCAATAAATATTACAATCACTTTGTTATAAAAGTCCGTATGAAGAATGTGTTTACATTAATTTTAATACACTGAAATGTACCCTTGCGGGTACATTCGATTGTTTTGATTTATAACACTTGGGTATTATGATTCAACTGATAACAATACCTTTTACAATAACGCACGAATTATACCTGAACCTGATAAGGTACGAAGTGCACTGCACGGTAGCTCGAAGCGAACTGATACTTTGAATGTAATTAAAATTTTAAAATTGCGTTTTTATTTTGTAGAATACTTCAAACATAATATAATGCAGTTTTTGTACTTTCACGAGTCCTGAAATTTTTACATGTAGTAAAAATTGCAAGTTGATCATATACGAGCAACAATTTATGATTGTGATCTTCGTCGAGATAAATTATATATATATATATATATATATATATATATATATATATTATTAAATTTTTATGAATTTATCACATATATAGTAGATTATTTCCCAATTATTATATTTATTTTTTTGTAAAAATTAAATTATTGAACAAGAATTGAAACAATATTCAAATTGAGAAAAAATTTTCTTATAAATGGTTAGTTTCTCCAAACACTTGAACCTCATGGTCATTAATTCACAAACTCGCCGATGCCAGAAAAGAAAACAATATGCACACCCACACACACACTCATATATATATATATATATATATATATATATATATCATAAATTGATGGATATTCAATCTATGTATAAAAGATAACTCCTATTTTCACATTGGGTCCCTCTACAAGTGGTGAACTTATTTTGGTCAATGATAATATTTTATGATTAATATGTGAATTTTTTTAACTAGCTTATTTTTCTCATATCTAAAAAAAATCTTATAAAATTTAATAAATGAATGCAATTGTTTGCAAATTTATATATATTTAAACATCCAATAAATTACATGAATTTAATTACATTTAAATACAAGTTGAAGCTGCTATTTAAATATATGAAATCAAAATCTATAAAGTGCAAATTTACAAAATGAAATCAATAAACCTTTTAAATTAAATAAATTGATTACTTAGAATGATTTTATTTTAATACTGTTTCATCAAATATGAATTGTGCAGAAACACCGAACCACACGCAACACACTTGTTTTGGCAGATCTCCCTAATGAAGATCTGTGATGAACACAACTATAACGGGTAATTAGCTCGTTTGTCAAACCACATGTAGAAATTGTTCAAAAGGCAAAATTATTTAATTTATTGCACTAGAACCAAAACCTCGTAATCTGTTTTGGCCTCCTCTTTGCCGCCGAATGGCACGAAGCAAGCTCCTTGACTTGGAAGCACCTATAAAGAAGTCATATATTAAATAATAATTAATAACATTTTACTTCGTAATTGATACGCAATTGCTACAACGTAATTTATAATTGGTTACGCGTTGTATTAAGTTGAATAAATGTCCCGAGATAGTCGTAACAGTTCTGGTTTTTAACCTTGCGTAGACCATAATACATGTTTTAGTCCTGGATTGTCTCAACTTTTTTAATTTTTTGAGTTGTAATTTAATCTGCGTGCTTTCTTGTTGATGAAATATTGACAATCCATCAAATATACGTGTTAAGACAAATATTAGATAAAACTATTTGTTACGAAAGAAAAAATTGCTGAATCCAAGTATAGGTTGAAATAATCTATCACTTCAATAATTTGAAACTTTTCTTTTCAAATTTACGAAAATTGGCAATACATTACTGAAGTGATACTTTCTAAAATTCTGTCATAAGTGCTTTCGACGAGTAACATTTTTCAATTTTAAATAGACACTCTGAAAACGATATTTTTTATTATTATGCTGGTTAGCACAAAATCATACATCATAAAGATTATAAAAATTTAAAATGTTATGCAGATTCTCTTTATCAGTAAATCTGGTTTAACAACTATTTATTTGAAAAAAAACACCTTACTCTTATTGTATCCTAAAATAGATATATTTTTTATTAAAAATTTAATTGAGGAAGTGCAATGTATATACAGGGTGGCTGATATGTATTGCAACCAAATTTAGACTGCTATCATTTCTAAACTACTAATCAGACAGTTGACAGATTTATTTCAGTGATTGTTCATTTAGTTGTTTACAAGCGTACAAAAGCATTTTGATCTATTGCATTTAGAAAAAAAAAAAATTCTTGATGGAAGCCAAGCGTGATAGTGTGATTGCTTTATATTTGGCTGGAAAATCAGAATTGGCTATCGTTAGAGCCCTCCAGCATTTAAATGCAAACAAATATTTTGTTTCTCGTACCATATCTCGTAACCGTGATACTATCAGTACTGCACCGCGTCCAAAAAGTGGATAAAAAAACACCAGAAGCACCAGAAATGATCCGAAAAGTGAAGGCAAAAATTGATCAAAATTCGTGTCGCAGTGGTAAAGAAATGGCTCGTGAACTTGACATATCGCGAGAACGGATGCAATACATATTGAAAAATGATCTTGAACTAAAGCCATTGAAGTTCCAAACAGTGCAAGAGTTCATAGATGCACAGAAAAAAGTTAGACGGGAAAGAGCCAAGGAGTTGGTTCGCTTGCACGAAAGTGGCTAGTTACCGAATTTGGTTTTCTACGATGAGAAGCCATTCCAAATTGAGCAGTTTGTGAACAAGCAAAATGATAGGGTTTACTTGATAAAAAAGGTCAGCTAAAAATTTACACCTTCGATTCCGACATTTTTGCTTTTAAACAATGAAACTTAGAATTAAAATAAAAAAAATATAGCGCTTTACTTTGTTGCATTACATATCAGCCACCCTCTAAATATGATCTTAAATCATGTTTAGGTTATAAGGCATTACTCCCGCAGTGCTTACAACCTGATATCAAGAAATCAATTAATATATCAATTTTCACTTAAAAATATAGATAAATATATCTATCTAAGTAAAAATAGCCTTTATAGACATTGCTGACTTAAATTGAAAAATACACCATTAATAGGCCAATCGTTGGGTTGCCTTCTAGAAAGCATTTTGTTAAGAAGTACCATTACGTCAAGTTTTGATTGCTGTTAAAAACCAGAATAAAAAAATATTTGATAGATTCAACTATCACCTTTCCAATGATTATATCCTCGCCACAAGGTCCTAATCTAGCGCGACCCACAAAGGCCTCCTCGCCATCGCATGTGGTTCCAGCTGACACTGCACCAGGTGGAACATCTCCATTTTCAGCACGCATCCACACCAATTGAGAACCACAGTACATCTGTACATAAAAAAACATTTAGAATATGTGAACCAATATTTTTATACATATAATAGTTCGATGTAAAAATTCCTATATAAAATATATGAATTGGAATGCAAATTGAAAGCAAATTTTATGCGAATGCGAATTCACCAGTTCAAGTTCCTTACATTGATTCATAACCAATGTTCTTCAAACAACCATTTTCAATATTATTATTAATATTCCAATATTGAGCTTTCTGGTTCATTAATTGTTTTCCCATTATATTATACTCGTAGCTATACGCCATAAAAACATTAATGAAACAATTATTGAAGAATACAAACTAAAGTGAACATAATAAAAAAGTTTTAACGTTAAATATTTATTTCAAGATGAGTAGGTCTAAATGACTTAGCCATTTGCCTGAACTTGCAGACCATTTTCACTGGTCATCTCTACCATCCTCTTAAATCGATTGCATCTATTCTGAAATAAAAATCTAAGAATTATCGTGTACCTCAAATTCGGAGACTTCGATTTCAATTCCGTCTTTGCAGACGTAGGCCTTCTGTGTGTCCAAATTAACTTTGGCCGGCAGCAGGCTGCCATCGTAGCACGCGCGTCCTACGTACAGGGACGTGCTGCCCCCGTTTTCGTGTCCTGCCCTTAGGGCTGTGTTTCTCAAGCTGGTGCAGTGATCAGTGTTGGTTGGTACCCATCGGAAATCTATAAAGAATTTATAAAATATTATATGTAAAATAAAACAGTCTTTATATAACAATTTATCTGGAAAGTTACTAAGAAGTATTAATGTAATTGTAACGAATCATCGAAGGGATAAAATTATTAGCAGTTTATATCAGGGGGCGTTTATTAATCACGTGTGGATTTTAGGGGGAGGGGGGGGGTTGACAAAAATTACGTAATATACCGTGGGGGAGGAAGGGATATAGTAAGATATCACGGATATTTATTTTTTACCTAAATTTAAAAAAAAATCCAAACATTTGCAAAAAAATAAAAAAATACAAATTTTTTTGTAACTAAAAATACACGTGATGTTTGGTGGGGGAGACGGGGTAATTTTGAATATCACCACATATCATCAAGAGGTAAGGTGAGTCGAAAAATCCTTAAAAGTCGATCACGTGATCGCTGGGCGCTCCCTCATGGGTGTGATTTCAATTTGTTATAAGATATGTCGAATGGTTAGTTTTGCCATATTCCTAGTCAAATAATTTTATTTTAGTTTCAATATTTTTTAATAATGTACTGGCATTAATTTTATCCTGCGTGATTTCACAAAATTATTGTAGATCTTGGGGAATTTAAAATTATGAACAAAAACTACTATTTTTATTTTTAACAGTAAAAGAGCATAGAATTTGCATTAAAATAATAAGCTATTATATATGTATGCGTGATCAAATAGCCTGGAGGAAAACAATATATTATTATGCAACAATAATTTATAGGTTGATAAAACAGCTTGAAGTTCATAAATATACATGGACAATTAAAATCTATTGGATATTTGCGAATTCCATTTCTACATGTGTCAATAAAAAGCTTATGCAATGTGTCATAAAAGATTATTTGTAAACCCAGGCGTGGGTTTTCAAATTAATTCAGAGTATAATATCACGCTTGTTATTTTTTATTTGTTATCTATAAATCTTTACAAGTATTCCAAAATAAAAATTAGTTTTATTTAATTTTCTAGTTTATCAACTGGTTATTGTTGTTATTGGCAGTCAGTCTGTCATATAAAACTACTTTTATATTGGACACCAGTCAATTAAATTAGGTTTTATTCATAGTCAAATAAAAATGTAGTATATTTTTTTTAAATATCACTAAGTTTCTGAACTTTTCATCTCTTATATTGAATCTTCATGCTTAAATATATTCCTCATCTTGACAAATACTAAAACAGTAATATGCTCATATAAAATAAATGTTTTGACAAAAAGAATATCTGATTTGATGTGAAAGACCTTGATATATAATCAATGATAGTTTGTCATTCGAGAAATCTTTCTAAAGCAATGCAAATCTACTTATAATGTTATAAGGCAATATATTATTCTGCTTTACTATTTATCACTAACAAGTGATTGTAAGTTGTATCACCATAATTTTAGTACTCTATATTCAGGTTATTATCACCATATATCAGAGTTTTTAAAATTAATAAATGTTCCCACATATCTAGTATCTAAAGGTAGTGAATAATTAATTTTTCAATATTTTATTCTAATATAAGAGCAATAAATCTCGAAATAATTCATAAGCATGAGATATAATAAACATCTGCCTTTTCTTATGATAGAATCATTCAGATCGCCTATTCAAAAATAGACCAGAAAGTAAACAAACGCTCAAAATCTAAAACATTAGGAGGAAGCAAGTGGAAATTCTACACACGCAATATTAATTATAAAATAAAACATTTCTGTGGGATTAACAATTATATACCATAAAGTACGTCTACGACGATCCAAGTTATTCTGGAACGTTTGCGATCAAATTCAGAAAAAGTCTGCAACAATTAGTGTGAAGTTACTACTTATACTCTTAGCTGCTTGCCGTTTTTACTCTATATATAAAATTATTTTATAATCGTAGGGATAACAAGCTAACTAATGGCATCAAGAAAAAATAACGCGACAAATGAAACATTTAATCAATAAGGCATAGATTTGGGTACCGTATATTTCCTCTCAATATAGGTGGCCTACTATCAAACGATGATGAATTAAAACCATAAAAAATATTAGCATAAATCAAGTTTATTTTTATAACACGTGTGTAATTGATTGGAATTCGCTTTCATTGGTGTAATAATTACTGGAATGTCATTCTCTTTACTATGGCGCTCGATTTTCAGACACAGTTGCAAGCTTTGACATTGATGAATGATGTCAGATATTTAAATATTACTCGTCATGAATAGATGTTTGATTACTCATTCATTGATACGTCATTCATGTTATACGATTTAGTTTCCAAAAAAATAGTTTTTTTTGAATGCAGATTTATTTTCTGCAAAACGAGAGATTAATATACATATATGATTCAGAACACGCCAGCGCGTCAAATAGATATTGTTATATTATTTAATTTAGGAAAAATATCATTCTTATATCTACTATATGAATATTTCAATTTTCATAAATTTTCCGTGCTTCTGTGTAACGAAATTCAACAAAATGTAGATGTATACCATAAAGTCTAGTCTTAGGCTACATTTAATGCACATGCCAATTTAACAAAATAAAATTGAAGAAAAAAATGTTACTGTTATCTTTGTAAGATAATTTCACTTGAGGTTTTTATTTAATATCATGGAGTCTAATTTTACAGATATCAGTGTAATTTATTTTCTGAAATCACATAACTCATTGAAAAATGAATCCTATATAATTGTATTATCAGCAACTTGGCAATTGATCAAACGATTAATCATAATGCCTGTGCTAAATTTATCAACCGCCTACGAATCTTTATAAATGAAAATAAATATGAGCAAGTTCATGTATAACTGTAAAATTTATCTGTACGTGCTGATATAATTAAATAAATTTATATATTATATGACACGAAACCTTTGGAAAGTTTTCGGTAGAGGGCCCTTTGTGTATTATATATAATTAACACTATCAAGTGACACTACTAGTTATCATGCAAGAGTGGGAATTATTGTATTAAATTATTAGGACATATTTTAAATAGACCTGGGGTAAAATTAGATCTAATAGCATTAGATATATTAATGAATAAAATAAACATATAAGAAAAAAATAGTATAGTTTTTCTATATCTGTTGCTGTTTACACAATTTGAAGTTGCAATTAGTTGCTCACACTGGTGCTATGGATGAATTATCAATTATTATTCCGTTTTATCAACGGAAAAGGAATTTGACCCATTCATTCATTGAAATAAACTAATGAATCATAATCTAACAAAAGATTGATTGCAAATAGTCATCCTACACTACTTCCTGGCGTCATTTGCAAATGTATAATTTAAATTTAAATATCGTTATAGTACTTAAGTGGCGCTCCCTTGAAACATTCTTGACTTCATATATAGTACATATGGTGTCATATTATAATTGAAAGGTGTATAATACATTTTTGATTTGTTGCTAATTAGATTTGCATGAAGAAGGCGCTAAATGATTTGAATTGTCTGATTGTTATTTATATTAATGTTTTATTAGCATATATATTTTATTTGTTGATGGTGATAATTACAAGAATAAATCCCGAAAGTTTTATATCAAATTGTTGTTTCAGACATACGACAGTTGTAATTCTATGAAACTGTGCAACATAATTTTAATACTTTTTTATTTCTAATTTTCTACCGTATAATTATAAATTTTTTAAATATTTCCATCCGTACATACATTCTACATTTAATATACCCAATTTTAGTTTCACATTTAACCAACGTTATAATTCATACTTATTAATGAACGCCTAATGGCTTAATATTTTATTATTTGAATTCGCATTAATTAAATAATATAATATCAATTCATTTTATAATTCCGATTTTTCATTCATAGTTTAATACAACAAATTATCTGATGACAAGTAGTTTCAATGAGAAAGCGATTATACTTCGTTCAAAATTAATTTAGTGGATTTAAGCCTTATTTTCTGATTTCCTTTGTAGATAAATGTTATATAATATGATAATTGTAAAATTTGAGGACTCTTTTTATTTTAGTTTCATTATCATTAAAATATTAGGTACTTTCAATCCAAAAAGTCACCACTACATAATACTATATTAGTTGTCATTGTCATTCATCACGGCTATGATCTGAATTTTTAAATATTTTTGTGTAGGGGGAAGTCTCCAAGTGGCGTACACCTAAGGTTATTTATAAATAAATAAAAAAATATTTTACGCAATGATTATTAAATTATGATTTATGTTAGATAACAAAGTTAGAAATCAAACTAAATTAACAAAACCCCAATCTTTGCTAAGATTTATACTTCGCTTAAATAATACGTGTTAAATAGAGTGTCCGGTGCTTGGTGCCATCCGGCGTTACGGGACTTTCCCCTGTAGTTCTTTTGTATATTATTATAATATTTTCTATTTGTATGAAACCAAAAGAATTTTATTTTTGTTCGCCAGTTTAATTCATCCAAGTGCAATTTTTATAAATATTAAAGCTCAAAAGTAGATTTGGAGCATTTGCACTGAATTCAAGTTATAACTCTCATGTGAAATCATAAAATGATTTATTACAGTTGGTCGCACATCTTAAAATTTTCTCGAAAATGATTTGTGTTATTCAGATTTATATGATTGAAACAATAAAATAGAGATTCTATTTTCGTATACCTATAATCTTTGCAATTTCTTCGAATTTGCTACATGTACGTGATAAAATTCATTATTATATTCGAACACAGAATAAAATTATATTATGTTTAAATTTCCAAAAAGCATTTATCATTTTAAACTGGCGTTTTAAATTATGTTTTCTTTAACCGCAAATTAATTT